ATGTAGGATAGATATATAGTAGTACATGTCACTCAAAATATTTACAAAAGAACTATGATTGTTTTTTTACAAGCTCAGCATCTGCAAAAGATCCGATTTTTAATTAAAAGAGGGTGGAGAATAAATTCCCACGTATGGATACAACAACTCCTTAAATATTTTTAAATAAACAATTATGATTTACACCAAATACTTTTATTAATTTTCATCATCTAATCTATTTATATAAAAAGCTTTTAATTTAGTTGAAATTTTGTGACATGAGCAAGAACTCTACCAACAACAACTTTGTTGTGTTGATACTAAATACTAATTAATTTAAAATTTTTGATTTAATAATATGATTAGGATTCGAATTTTTCCAATATAAAAAAAAGACTCTTTTATATACTATTATAAATAATAATTATGATTTACATACTTTATCATTTTTTTAATTTTATTTATTTAAAAAACTTGTAAGATTATTTCAACTGACCTTCAAATGAGAAAATCGGTGTAATTAATTTCAAAGTCAGAAAATCATATGTACTATGCTACTCTGGAAACTCAAATATGGGTCCTAATAATAAAATAATTTTGTTTCTAGGGTCATAATGCCAACCTAAAATTAAAGTCCCAATCTATTCATTTATTTATTTTTACTATTTAAAATAACAATTACTAAAACTGGATGCAATTACTGCAATTTTATGTGTAATAAATTAATACCGTATTCTCACCTTAAAAAAATAACTTGTTGTAAAAAAAAAAAATCTCCTCTAAAAAAATGAAAAATAGAAAACAAGATTTATTTATAATTAAAGTCAGACTTTTTTTTTTTATGAAAATAGTACTTATTTACTTTATTTCTTAAATATCAGAAGAAATATTATTCTAAAATTATATTATTTTAATAAATATTTATTGAAAATGATTAAAATATTTTATTTTTAAAACATAAATTAAATTATTTTTATTTTTTTATAATATTTTATTAAAATAATATAATTTTAAAATAATTTTTTTTTAAATTTTAAAAAATAAAACGGATAAACACTAATATTTTTTAACGAGGGAAGTTGTGTATAATTAGCCACCGGATTTGTACATGAATCACAGATCAGACCTAATGGTGTCAAAACAAAAATCCAAACCCCGCATAAAAATTAAAAAAGAACAGGCTAAGCCCAGCAGAGGCATAACATTTTTGAGTGTGGGCTAAGTTCGGCTGATTGGGCTAATCCATGTAGCGTCTCCAAGACGGCAATACTCATTAGGCTTCATTTGCCAATGTTTCTTGATTTTTTAAATTTAAATTTTTATATCTTTTTGTTATTTAAAATATATATAATAGTAATTAAAATAAATATTAAATATATTAAATAATTTTATATAATTTTATAATATTAAAGGACTAAAAAACTTATGCCAACATGGTCAAATTAAGCTTAAATAATAAAAATAATAAATAGATTTCTAAAAATATTATAGTTAAATATTATATGGTACTAGAAATTTACAACATAATGTGTCTAGGCCTAGGCACCATTTGATTTCGGTCTAACTGAAATCAAATTTTGAACTATCTACTTTTTATTATTTTACTTTTAGTGACCAAATTCAAACTAAATTCTTTGTGAATTTCTTAATTTGGTAACTAAAATAATTGATTTTAATATTTTAGTTATTGGTTATAACCAAATCATTATTAAATGTCTATTTCAAACTAAATAATAAATATACTTAATCAAAATTTGAAATTTTTAAGGGATATAAATATAACAAATGTAAAAAAGATGAATGTATGAGAGTAAAATATAAATTTTAAGTTTTATTATTTTACTTTTAAATATATTTTAAATTTAAATACTAAATTATAATAAAATTT